AAACCCGACGCAGCTCACACTTGTTTTTAGCTAGTTATCTCCTTCCTTTATTTTCTCACTCAAACTCTTCTAAATTATAAGAAAAATACTGAAACAGGTATGCGTAAACGTTAATTTTCTCTATTGTCCATGAGATTTGAGTGTTGTATGTTGTAAATATTATAAAATGTAATGATAGTCGGGCGCGTGGAGTGGTGCTTGTAAAATATAAGTTTAAATTTATTGAGACAAATGCATTGATATGGATTCAACTCAAACAAATAATTTTATTCTCAAGGGAATGACACGTGGACTGAAATGGGAAAACATTACGCGCACGTTAAGGAGGTTTAAGAACGTCATCAAAATAAATATATATAAAAAAAAAGGAATAAATGGTAAATGATTTTTATTTCGATTCTAAACTAAATTCCCCTATATTGTTAAGAATAACTGTTTTAGCATATGACAACAAGGTAATTTCAAAAATGTCAGACAATATCTTCAAAACAGTGAAACTATTAATGCTATAATTACTTTTGAAATGATTAATTAATAAAAACAAGGTGCTCTAAGGCCAGGATTATATCTGCCTTTTTGTCATCTCCCGTTGTCATGGTTACATCAGGTACTTAGCAACGGCAAGAGCCATGGCAAGGAGAGTCACGACCTTCACAGGCTTCAAGGGTACACCTCCGTTACACAGGTCACTGTCACAGCAATAGGCTTCACAATCTCCTGAGTTCTTGCAAATTGACTTGGCAACATTGCACCCTAAGCTGTTTGTGCATGTCTTTGCAACTGCATCGCCACCTTTTGCCTTCAAGCAAGCGATGCCTGAGCAGCTAGTCTTTCCACTCATGCAGTTCCCATTGCTGTTTCGACAGACATAACAGTCAATGGATAAAGCTAGATAATAATAACAATAATATTAATAATGATGATGATGATGATGATGATGACGGTGGTGACTGAGCAGTTCCCATTGCTGTTTTGACCGACATAACAGTCAATGGATAAAGCTAGATAATAATAACAATATTAATAATAATAATAATAATAATRATGATGGTGACGGTGGTGACTGAGCAGTTCCCATTGCTGTTTTGACAGACATAATAGTCAATGGATAACGCTAGATAATAATATCAATAATAATAAATAATGGTGATGATGATGATGGTAATG